CAAATATCTTACTACTTTCTACTTCATTTACGTGTCTGGTTATAAATTTGTTTATTTAATGTGTCTTATTTATGATTTTTACAATTCCTTTCTATATTTTTCGATCAATAAAAATTTTTTACAGAAAAATTTTTGACATCCTTTTTTTTTTTTTTTGACATTCTCCGACAACCTTCAAAAACTGTCTCCTCCTTTGATATCCATTTAAAATAAAAATTGATATACAGGACGTACTCACAATTCAATTCATTACACAAAAAAATACTGAATGATACATTTATGATAAAGTTGAATTTTAAAATTTATTATACATTTTAATTAATAATAAATTGTCACTTTGAAGAACATTATAAATTCCCCAAATTTTGTGTTAATTAAAATTTTCCACCTGGAAACATTTTAATAACACCAAAATTTTATTATAGGCGTTATTTTTAATATATTGATATAATTTAAAGAACATTTTTTTATCGAACCAAAGTTTAGATATCTTGCAAATTTGCACAAAATAACTTATTTTATAGGGTGTTATTTTTGATAAAATATTTAATATAATTACTTTTTAATAATTGATATTAATGTCAATCTTCATATCTGTATATTTGTGAAATATTAAACACCCCTCGAATTTTATTACTACTTATTTCTTTTAATAAATAACTGTTGGAGATTTATTAACTATTTCATAAGGTCCATCATAGGGCAATTGCAGTTTGGAACATTTATTATTTTTCTTCATAACAATGATTAGTAGATTAATATATTGAGTTACACTGTGCTCTATAATGCATTTTCTAAGCAATTCTTGTATATCTTTATTAACTTTATTCTTAAATTTATATGGTATTGGACATCTCTTAACTCTGAAATTATTTATATCTTTAACTTTTATCTTATGTACATAATTGGACGCAACTCTCATTTCTTTACTTACTAACTTTTCATATTTCATAATCATCATTCTAATTTTATCATAAAATTTTTCCTCACAATCTATCTTCATTTCAGACAAACTTTCTTCCTCCTTCTTCTTAATTTCTAAAGATTCTTTTTTTTCTGTACATAAATTCAAAACAGCTTTATTATTCCTTTCAACTTCTTCATCACTTTTCTTCTCAAAGTTAATCCATGTTCCTTGTATATAAACTTTCCCTATTTTATAATCCACTATGCAATCATACTTGCTTAACATATCCGATCCTATTACCATATCAGTAACAATATCAGGCACTACCAGTAACTCAACATTGATCTGTTTATCATTAAAAGAAACATTAATATTTACCATTTTATTAGTATTATACAATTTTTTACTATTTGCACCAATTAAATTAATTTTAGGAATTGTAACTACATTTTCTTTGATTTTTATAATATTCTCAATTATTTTATTGTTTATCAAAGATGCTTCTGACCCTGAGTCTATTAAAATATCAACAATGTTCCCCATTAAATTTCCTTTAATAATAACCAAATTATATTTAGATTCATTTTGCTAATCGTCATCTAATGTGATGAATTCTCGAGGGTGTTCGTAGTTACAAATATACAAATTATGATTTGTAGAGCGCATATTTAAAAATTTTGATCGTCAGTTTCTTGTGGTAATCCATCACATGATGAATTTCTTCTTATACATCTTGTACTACCTTCTCTCTGTTCTTCATTTGTAATTCTTTCTCTGTCTAGACTATTATTACTACTCTCTCTTCTTTGAAAATTCACTCTTCTTTCTTCTCTTTCTCCTCTTTCATTGGCATGTACAAAATTGCTATTATTTGCATTATTAGAGTTTGGATTAGAATTAAAGTTACGATAATTATTGTTTCTGTAGTTAGAATTACAATTATTATAATTATTGTTAAATCTGAAATTATTATTAGGAAAGTTATAATTATTATTTATAATTGAACTGTATTGTCGGCTATTTTGATAATTAGGTTGATGCTCATTTGTTCTTGTTATTTGGTTATCAAATTGATTATTATTCTTATAGTGGTTTTTATTAGTGTTTAAATTTCTCTCCATTCTTACTAAATAACATGAAAATTGCTCAAAATTTTTAATATTTTGAATAGCAATTGTTTCCGCTACTTCTATTTTATAATGACGTGATATGGACAATATTATTTCTTCCTCTAACATAGGAGGATCCAAAAATTTTGCCGATGTAAACAGTTGTAATGCATAATGATTTAAATTATTACTTCTAGTATAATCGAATTTACCAAAATAAAGTTTTTCTCGAACTGATGTTTGAGTGCTTTCTCCCCAAAAATAATTTAGAAACAGTTCTTCAAATTTTTCAAAATTATTCACCTCAAACACTTTGCTTGTATACCATAATAAAGCGTGTCCTGATAATTGTGCTCTTATGGTTTCTCTTAAATCATCAATATTATTTATAAGTTTAATTTTATTTTTCAAAATTTGCACCACTACTTTCGGATGCAATTTATTGATGTCACCATCAAATTTTGTGATGTCTGCTCCACTTGTCGTCATAACAATCTGACTTTTTCCCATATTGTTTTCAATTGCCTTTCTATATTCTCGTTCTTGCTGTAAGTTTCTTTCCATTTCTTGGATTTTTCCTTTCGTGTTGTTCATTTCAGAAGTGATAATCTCCTCATGTAATTTGAATCCTTCTTTAATATGTTCTTCCAAATTTTTGAGTTGTTTCCCATTTATTTCTAAGTCTTTCTTTAATAATCTAATATCTTGTTCTGTCTCTTTTCTTGTTTTCCTATTTTCCTCTTCTGCTATTTTCAAGTTTTCTTGTACTACTTCTTCCATCCTGTTTTTTAACAAAACTATATTTTTACTGTTAACTGTTACATTTCTTTCTATTCTTTCAACTTCACTATTTGTCTGTTCTATCTTGGAATCTTGTACTGTCAATGTTTGTTCCATAATCTTCTGTTTTGTTTCCATTAAGTTAAACTTCTTTTCCATTCTTTCAACTCCTTCTTTAATTTCATCTTTAATGTCTCGTTTCATTTCTTCTTGCCCTTTCTTTAGGTTCTTTATTTCATTCATCATCATCTCCATCATTTTCATTATAGGATTTTCTTCCACTTTTTCTGGTGTTACTTCAATGTCCTGATTTATCAGTTGTGTTTCGTCATGTTTTATTTCTGCTTCAGGTACTTTTTCAAATCGTTCTTCAGGTACTTCTTTAATTTCAATCTCTTCTATATTTTCTAAACTTTTTACATTTCCAATTTGTTCTGGAAAGATGTACGTTTGAGGATCTTTTCCTTCTTTTATCAAAATCTCTTGTAGGGTTTTTAATAAATCTTTTTTCGGTCCAATCGCTTCCTGACCTCTTCTTTGCAATTCTTCTTTTACCTCAATCATTTTTAATTCAGTCATCTTCTTTCCTGTAACTTGTTCCATTTTCTTGGTTTGTCTTGTTTGTCTTTAACTACTTATTAATAAAAAAACTATCACTCTGCCAGACTTTATTATAAATAACACACTTAAATATTATAAATTACTCAAATTAATACCGTATACACAAATATTTCAAATAAGGTACTAACACAAAAAAAAACTAATTATTTACACAACACATTTACAAATTGCCCCACGTTGGGCGCCATTTGTAATGATATCATACTGTATATCATTTACTTTTTTTTTTAATTTAATTATAAAAATTATTTACCTCGGCTCTTTTTCTTAATCTCAGGGGTGTTTCAAAATTATTAAGAATAACACTTGTTTTATTTTGTTTTATCTTCTTTTATGTATTATATTTTAAGTTATATATTTTTTTTTTATTTAAATTTATTTTAATTTCAATTTATATTTTATTTATTTTTTTAATTTTATTAATTTTTATTGTATTTATCAATAATCAAAAAAATAAAACTTA